GTCAGATATGGCTTATCGCTCCCTGGATTCACTCAGTACTTCCCACCCATGGGCCTTTGCTGGAACTCTTGCCCTTGCCTGGAATCTTCCCATCCTTTGGTCTACCTCTTCGGCCTTTGTAGCATGAGTCTGGTTCACTGGAAGTCTCAGCTGCTGCCTCTTTGGATTTGACACCATGTTCGTGGCAAGGTCATGCTTCACCTCGACTATTCCTAGCCAATGATTGAGCATGGTGGGGGTATTAGAGTGAATGTGAGACTCTTCCATTGGGCTACTTTTGGTCAGGAACCCCTCGCTGGCCTGGCTGAAGCTGTCTCAGAGCTGCTCTGCCATCTGAGACTCTTCCTACCCAATTCTTCCTTCCCCAGGTGCCATCTGCACTGCAGTCTGACAGGTCTCCCTACCTATCCCGCCCCCTCCCCCTTTATCCTTCATACACCTTCTCCCCAATAATCTCTCATATGTCTAATCCTTTCTTGGCATTTACTTCTGAGAGACCCAAACTGACCTAGCCATAGCTTTCCCTGAACCAGGCAGAATCAAGCACTTCACATCCATATTTTTGGAGCCCCTTGTGTATACCTCTGTTATAGCACTTACTACATTTTGCCATCACCACTGCTGCCGCCACCATTACCACCATCATCACCATCATCATGTCTGTCTTCTCCTCTAGGCAGCTCCTAAAGGTCAGGCACTGTGTTTCTTACATTTTGGTGTCTGTATCTGGCATGCATTAATATGTGCTTATTGAATTGGACCCATTTCTCTTTCACGGGGCTGTGCAATCTTCTCTCAACATGATTAGTATTAAAGGTAGGCATGTTGCATGTCTCTGGTCAAAGATACAGCCACATCGTTTCTATATGAGAGCAGACCCCATCTGTCATTCATATTAGAGTTAAAGTTCACATACTTGTTTACTAATGGTCCACTTAATTTTTAAGCAAGAGGATGCCTACAATCTTTTTTCTTTTTTTCCAATAGGCACTATGCAATACATGGCACCTGAGATTATTGATCGAGGACCTCGCGGGTATGGTGCCCCAGCTGATATCTGGGCCCTGGGCTGCACTGTCATTGAGATGGCCACTGGCAAGCCTCCGTTCCATGAGTTCGGCGAGTCACAGGCAGCATTGTTAACAGTAAGATATTTCATGATTCAAGTTGCTGGTATCGGGGAAATGTAATTAAAATCGAAATCTTCTCCCAATCCAGAAACCTCTCCACAAAGGTAGAAGAGAAAGGAGCGTTTTATTATTGAATAAGCCTTAAATCAGATTGTGATATGCATCATAGGCAATTCGCTAAGAAATTACAAAGATAGAAAGAACTCTCAGCCTTATATTGAGCCAAGGAGTACAACCCTTTTCATCTGTGTTCTCAAGAGAAATGCTACCTCGTCCTCAGGTACAAGGACTGGATGGCAGCATTGGTCACAATTGCTCATTCAAGATTTGTTGGGGTGACGATCTGTGTTAGCTAATAAGCTTTACCCAAAGGAAAAATAACCTCAAATCTTTAAAATGGGAGGTAGTTTTAGAGCAAGGCGCCACTGAAGTTGATCTAACCCAGGGGTCCCCATCCCCAAGTCCGTGACCTGTCAGGAACCAGGCCACACAGCAGGAGGTGAGAGGTGGGCCAGTGAGCAAAGCTTCATCTGTATTTGCAACCACTCCCCAGTGCTAGCATCATAGCCTCGGCTCTACCTCAGATCATCAGGCATTAGATTCTCATAGGAGCACCGGTCCCTGGTGCCAAAAAGGTTGGGGACCATTGTCCTAACCCTCCCATAGAAACTGAGAGGTAGGGGGCCACCATCTTCCTCGATGATGACATTTAAAGAGATGGCTTCCAGGTCCTTGAGAAAGACATTCCTGGCAAGAGGCTTATTTAGCTTTTAAAAATATTGGGTATCTGATGATGTTTGCTTTGTCATTCTAAAAACCCTCCCAGAGCTAATAGGAAGGGCAACCCATGCACATCAAGGCCCACATTGGACTACCCAACCCATTGGCCACTGTGGGTAGGGCTTTCACTGCTGGGACTGCTCTCTTAGGAAGGGACTTGCTTGCTGGTGACTCCAACAGAAGCTGATGCCAGGACAGTCCTGTGTGTCCAAGGTCAGGTCTGTGGCTTCTTGCTCTGTGTATACTGGGAAAAGTTGGAGTGGACTATAGTCTAAGAGTCCATTACCAGCACTGACCTCGCATGAAGCCTTTTTATTCACCCCAAGGCTAAGATGGAAGAGGGGGCCACAAAAGGCCAAATGGCCACTGCTTATGTACAACGAGATCACAGTGCATCGAAGCAGCCTGATTGAACAAGATTCCAGAATGCGATTCCTTCCTTCCTGCCTCGCTGCCAGGCACAGTGACTTCTCAGCCTGCCTGTATCTTTGCCAGGCCTCCAGCCCAACCTCTTTGGCAGAAAGAATTCAAAGGCACAAGCGCAGGTTTCTGCCCATGAGCTGAGTGCAGCCTGCTGTGCTGTGGCCGCTCTCCTTGGCCCTGCCCCTGCAGAAGTTTCTCAGAGCTTCCCACCTTCCCAACAGCTGTCAGGCAGCTCCAAAGCCAAGATCTCAAGTTGACAAGTGTAATCCCAACAAGACCGTGAAGAGTTAGTCTAGAGGACAGCAGTGACCTTCCCTAGCCCTTTAATTTCTGTCCATGATGGAGACAACTGGGGCTGCTTCAATCTTAACCTGCCGCTTCAGTCACAGGCATTGGAATAAATAGTAGCTGGTACTGAGAAAAACATCAGGGCCCACCTGAGAGCCATGGCTCTCTGCTTTATGATCTGCTGCCATCTTTTTGCAACACTCAGAACACCTGTCTGAAGCCTGAAACTTGCTCAGTTCATCAGTCAGGCACAAGTCACTCCCATCTCTCTCTTCCTCCTGTTTCTGGTGGCTAATTAGCTATACAGTATTTGAAATATATTGATTTTTTTGGATGGCATATAAGGTCAGTTTTCATTGCAAACTAGAAAGCTACTATTAAATAAGTAATGTCCCTTGTGTTCTTTTTGCAAAGCTATAGAAATTATTTCAAGGCTCTAGAATCCTTCAGAAAAATTTCAAGAAACTTCTGGGCAGTGTCTGAAACAAAAGGAACTGATTTTTCCCCAAAGGGGCTTTTATAGGTTGAATTGTGTCCTCCAAAAAAGATATGTTAAAAAAATATATATATGTGTTGAAGCCCTAACCCTTAGCACTTCAGAATGTGATCTTATTTGGAAACAGAGTCTTTACACAGATAACCAAGTCACACTTAGGATCAGTCACACTGAGCCTAATCCAAGAAGACTGATGTCCTTATAAAGGGAAGTTTGGGCACAGAAATGGACATTCACAGAAGATGATGCGAAGAGACACAGAAAGAAAGCCATGTGAGAGTGGAGGTGGAGACTGCAGTGATGCGTCTACGAGCCAGGGCCCATCGGGCAGGGCCAGCCACCACCAGACACTGGGAGGAAGAAAGGCAGGACTGTCCCCGGGAGCCTTTGGAGAGAGAGCATGGCTGTGCTAACCTCTTGATTTCAGACTTTTGGCTTCCAGAGCTTTGAGACTAGATTTCTATCATTTTAAACCACCATGTTTGTAGTATTTTGTTCGGTGGCCCTGGCGAACTAGTACAGGGGCCTTTTTGAGTAACAGCAAAACACCCTTAAAAGCTGTACTTGCAGGATGCCAGGATGCTATCCATGTTCTTTCTGAGAGCCAGGGGAGAAGCCACCCCTTACTTCTTTGGGTTCTTGTCCTGATTTTTTGTCTCTGGTCCCCCTAGTTCCCTTATGACCCCCACCCCTCAGGTAAGGAGTGCCGCCTGTAATGTGCCCTGCGTTGCAGATCTTGGGGGCTGAATTCCCTTTAGCATTCAGTGTTCTCAAAATCCGAAATTTGTTTTAAATTTTTATTTTATTATGGTAAGAACACCTAGCATGAGATCTACCCTCTATAACTTTTACTTGCACGGCACTGTCTCGGTGACTCTAGGTACAGTGCTGTGCAGCAGGCCTCTCAAGCATGTTCATCCGGCTTAACTGAGACTTTATGCCTGCTAACTAGCAGCTTCCCATCTCCCCCTCCCCCATCCCAAACTCTTGAGCTGTCTTTCGTGCCCCTGAGTCAAGGGACTTGGGGATGTGAAGTCAGAAGGCTTGTGCTTTGCTCTCTGCAGCAACCAGATTTCGCTTAAGGGGGCAAGGGAGGCCGGGCCAGTCTTCAGGGGTGCCAAGGAACTGGGACTGGGGTGTATCTGGAAGCCAGAGGGCTTCTACCCAAGGCTTGTTGGGTAGGCTCAGAAAAGATGTGGGGAAGACTGTGAACTTTAAGATAAGAATTCCTAAGGAGAGAGCCACCCCTCATTGTCACAGTTATGCAGGAGTTATGCAAGATGGACAAGCAGGACCTGTGGAAGCATTGTCATGTCACAGTGACACGTGACAACTCAGCCCCAACTCCTGCTCCCCTCCAGGTCACAGGGACAGAGAGCCTTTAGCAGGACAATGGTGAACTGGCCAGAAGTGGGAGCCGAAGCAGAAATGGTAGCAGGAACCTGAAGAGGAAAGGGCAGTGCCCCTCCCTCGGCCTGTTGTACCCCATGGGGATGAGGCTATGGGCCGTGAGGTACCAGCCTCCAGGTTTGGCCTGCACGTGGTTTGCAGCTGGAGGGGGTGGGGGATTTGGGCTGTGAATGCATAGACACTGAGGTGAGTGGGGCATCCTTTGGGGACCCTGTATATCAGGAAACAGAGCACAGATGCCTTCGAACACTTTCAGAGCATCCTGCTGCAGACTGTGGTCCCAGCCTCATCTCAGTTATCTTTTGTGTAATAAGCCACCCCAAAACTTTAGAGGCTGAAAACAATCACTTTATTTCCCACAATTCTGTGGGCTGACTGTTGGCTCTTCCACTCGTGTGCTGGCTTGGCTGGAGCAGGATGCTCTCAGAGGACCTTGCCCACATGGCCTTTCACCCTTGGCATCCTCCCTGCATGGTGGTCTTAGGGTTCCAAGGGAACTGGAGCAGAAGCCCCAAAGCCTCTTAAGGCCCAGGCTCTGAACCTCTCCCAGCAATGCTTCCCCCACAGTCTATTGGGAAAAGCAAAGTCCCAACAGGCCAGCAGGGGCTTAATCACGGTAAGGGTCACTAAAGCTGTCATTATGCTCCATCCCCAGCCCCTCAAAGGATGGCAGGTGTAGTAGCTTTGTGGTGAAGGCATGTATACCCAGATTCGCCTGAGGCCTCAATTTCACACCAGTCATCTTTCTCTCAAATGCAGGTGGGGTTCTTTAAGATCCACCCCGATATTCCCAGCAAGCTTTCATTGGCAGCCAGATCCTTCATTCTATCCTGTTTTGAGCCTGACCCCCAAAAACGTGTCACCGCTGCTGCCCTACTCAGAGAACGTTTCTTAAGGCAGGTGAACAAGGGCAAGAAGAGCCGAATTGCTTCCAGGTTATCAGGTGAGGCCTACCAGGACAGCTGGGTGACCCCCAGGCCCCAGGCTCCTCTGCTGCCCAAAGAGTTCCAGCTCTCTAGAGTCCTGAACTTTCCACATGGCATCCATTTTTGTGGTGTGGGAGGCGGGGACTGCAGGGGAGTGGGTGCAGCAGTTTTGGGTTATCAAAACCCAATCAATGAATGTCATTCATTTTCACAATGGAGGTGCACAGGAGCCCCACAGGTGACAGCAGTGCCCCCCCCCCCCGCCGCCTTTGTTAAAGTCTTTCCTCTGGGGGTTGTGCTGTGGCATGAGACGAGAGGGGCCCTGGCCTAGCTCAGGTTTTGTGTCTTCCCCACCTGCAGTGCCTGGCGCTTCATTTTTGGAGCCTGGCCTGTCCCCCTGGGATGCTCCTGACGTTGATTAAAGGGCGTGTCAGGGAAGTTTGCCTGTGGCTACTGTCCGGCAGGCCTCTGTAGACAAGTGACCCCTCTATGGTAGTCCTACTGGCAGTGACCTAAGAGTGGTTCCTGAAAAAGAAGCCATTTGTTCACTTTTCCCTGATGTGGATGGAGTCAGAAGGCAGGACAGAGCTCCTCAGCATCTTGCTCCCAGAGCGTGTCTATGTCAGCGTTTTCCTGCAGACTGGTAAGAAATGCAGAGCCTCAGCCCATTCCAGACCCGCTGAAGCAGAAGCTGTGTTTCACCAGGATCCCTGGGTGTTTACATGCACCAGTTAGAGCAGCACAGCATGAGTTCTCTCTTAGCCTCCCCCTCCTTCTCTGACTCTCCCCACCTCGGAGCCCCCCACCTCCCTCTCTCAGCCTCCATCTTCCCTCTCTGAGCCCTTCCATGTCTGCCCCCACGCAGAGGATGCCGAGGACCCCATCCTGTCCCTGCCCATGTTGGATGATCCTGTGGACGGCAGCGAACTCAGGTCTGTTTCCCCGGCCTCAGACATCCAGTCCTACTCTTTCTTGAAAAATGCCGATGAGCCCAAGGACGGACTCAGCGACCTGCTCAGGTACAGCCAGCCCCATGGTCAACTGTAGGCCTGTGAGGAGTGCTCATTCCCAGAGGCAAAATACCTCCCAGGTCAAAACCAGGTGGTTGTGAAGGGCTTTTGCTTCCTTTCTGCTTGGTCAGGGCGATGGGCTGCCAGCAGTGCGTGAGGAGGGCATTGTGTTCGCTCATCGGTTCCCCTCTCTGTTCTCCCGCATCTCCCTTCCCTGTCCCATCTCCCTTCCCTGTCCCTCCTTCCTCTCCCAACACTGGTACTACGGGATTAGAAAACACACTGCATCCCTCTTCCCTCAGCCTGCCTCCTGCAATTTCATCTCCTTGAGGGCAGGGCTGCAAAGGAGTCACCTCTTAGCCCCTCCCCCATGAAGTCCTAGCTTGGAGGCTTTGCTCAGGTACCTGTTGTCGCCTGTGTTTGTCCACAGTGTTCCAGATGAGAGCCTGGCCTCAGAAGAGCGGAGCACAGTCAACGCCGACGACAGGTACCTGGAATTGTTCCTGCTGCGCAAGGACAGTGAGCGCCGTGCTAGCCTCTGCAAAATCCTTTGGGACGAGCAGAACCAGGTGGCTTCCAACCTGCAGGAGTACGTGGCCCAGGTACAGGCTTGGGGCAATAGGGGGAGGTGTTAATGTCCAGGTCTCCGAACAGATCCAATGAGACCAAAATTCCTGCTACCTTGGAACATTTGCACGGTTACAATAATCACCATAAGTATTTCCCAACGTCCTTCCCTTCTCCAACACTACAAAAGAAAATACAAAGAAAAAGACTTCGCTGAAAGTCTTTGCAGAACACTGCAGTGAATCTAGGCATGGATGGGGCAGTGCTGCCCCCTGGTGGAAACCAGCCAAATGGCAGCACAAAGCCCAGGGGCTCCCAGCCTTTGCCTGACGCTGGGAGAACAGCCACTTTGGGGAGAAAGGTTATGGGTGAAAATATTGGAGTTTTAACTTATTTCGGATAGGGAAAGTGCCTTTTAGGAAGAGACCACTGCCCTACTCTGTTCTTTCTGACAAGGCCCGTTCAAGGGAGTAGCCATCCAAGGTTAAACAGGATGACAGAACCATCCTAGAGGGGCTTAGTTGTGACAGTATGTGTGGGCCAGCGAGACGACGAGGCCACAAAACCCTCTAACAGGAAAGATTGAGTTTCAGGAACATAGACCCTGTGTCACCTGAGGTATCCTCAGTTCCTTTAGCAAATGCATAATGGAGAATCTAAACGTAGATTGGAACAATAGTTCTTGAATTTTCCCTTCATGACTTACTCAGTAAATGTAATTTGTGTGTATATGTGTTTGTGATCAGAGTTCTGGAGAGTTGCACCTCTCAATTGGCCACATCAAGCAAATAATTGGGATCCTGAGGGATTTCATCCGCTCCCCGGAGCACAGGGTGATGGCATCCACAATATCAGAGCTAAAGGCGGACCTGGACTTTGACAGCTCGTCCATCAATCAGATTCAGCTGATACTGTTTGGATTTCAAGATGCCGTAAGTATTCCATCTGGCTCTAGAGAACGTGCCAGAAGGCATGATGCCCACTGAAGCAGCTCATGGCCAAACCCCTGGAGTTCAGTTACCATCTTCTCCCACAGTGCCCATCTCTGCTCACCTGTTTATACCTGAATCCCAAGTTTCAGCAGTTCCTTTTAAACATTGAATACGCAAGTACAGGTGAACAGGCGGACTGCATTTGGCCATGAAGAGCAGGAATATAGGATTAGGGAACAAGTGGCATCTGCCAGTTTGTGTCTCCCCAAACAGATGTGAGTTGCTCCAGGTCTAAGAACATGTGTCCCAAGCCACCAACACAGAGCCTGAGGTTTCATAGGCGCTTAGTAAGTATTCGTTGAATAAGCAACAGAGAGGCCCAGTTCAGGTAGATCTGCTCACTGTACCCATCTCCTGGACCCCAGGCATGGCTTAAGGCCAGCTTGGAGACTCAGTCCAGAAGGAACTTAGTGTAGAAATCCAGAATAGCATGATTAACACTTTATCTCAGAGTAGAAGCAAATTAGTAAGAGCTCATATTTCTTAGAAGTACAGTGGGCCAGAAATTGATTTTTGTGATTTTTTTAGGTGAATAAAATTTTGAGAACCCACTTAATTAGACCCCACTGGATGTTTGCGATGGACAACATCATGCGGCAAGCGGTGCAGGCTGCAGTCACCATTCTCATCCCAGGTAAGTGCCTGCTTCTTGGTCAAGGTCACCTTCAGGCTATAGAGATCAGAAATGTTCTCTGCACTCAACAGTTGTTGCTTTCTCATTCCCATTTTGGCTGTATGCTTCTCTACAATAAAGTAATGCTGTGACAGACCCTTTGGGACTAAGATTCTGTGATTCTAAGAATTTCTCCCGATGCTGTATTTCTACACCCTCTGGGCAGAGCCCAGATTGCATGTAAACTAAACTGCTGATCTGAAAGGGAGCATGACCCTCCAGCACCTCCTCCAGTGTGCTCAGAAACACCTGCTGTTGGTTGATGATTTAATGGCTTGGTGTTCTCTCTCAGAATCACCATGTGGTAGCTATAGAAACCTTTGGCTTTTGTTGACTCTGTGTTACAACAGCTTAGTACAGAAGTTGATTCTCCTTCTATGGTGACTTCTTTCTATGAAGGGAGGTTTGCAACACTTGTGTTGACACTGCCACTTCTTCTCTTGACTTTACTCTCTCCCTGTCTTCTGCCTGCTCCCTTGAATGCACTGGAGCCCAGGCTCAGCTTCCAGAGAGGCTCATTCATCTCAGATCTGTATTACTCCCCACTCCAAGCAGGCAACTTTCTGCAGTAAAAGAACACAGGCCAGGTTGGAATCCTAGCTGTGCCTCTTTAAAACTGTCCTTAGCTAACTAACTTAATATCTTTAAGCCTCAGTTTTCTCACCTGTAAACTGGGGGTGATCATCTTTGCATACAGAGAGAACTGAGTGAAATAGTCTCTCCATTTATAAAGTCAGAAGTCCCTGGATAGAGCATTGCAATGACCAGGTCAGCCTCCTGAATAGCCTTATTTGCTGGCATGGGACACAAGCTACATGAGGCCCTGATATTGTTGAACTGTGGTCCTTTCTTCTGTGATTTCTCAGAGCTCCAAACTCACTTTGAGCCCGGCTCAGAGACCGAAGAGGTGGATAAGGACCCAGGTGAGATGAAGGAGGACTCTCCCCCAGCAGACCCGCCCAGAATCGAAGCACATGCGAGATACGGAGGGAACAGACCCACAGTAGCACTTGTCCGGGAGGTCCGGCTTCAGCAGCTCTACCAGCAGCACCTGAGCCTCAAGCTGGGGAGGCTCAAGCAGGAGACCAACAGGTCAGCAGGGGTGAGACAGTGACTTAGACCAGCAGGCAATGGGTTTAGTTGTTGGTGCCTCACCCAGGTCTCAGAAAAGCATCTTCACCAAGGAACTGGGCAAAGGGGTATTCTCACCGTTTGAACTAAATGCCTCCCTTTCTTTAATATTGGGAATCAGAGAGATACAGTACCTTGCCACAGGCCACACTAAAGGCAGCAGCATCTGAGAGTTTTCTGGGTCTTTTTAGCAAATGGAGCCCCTGGCATGGCCTGAGTCCAGCAGGTCCAGCAGTGGACATCTGCACCCCGCCCCTGCAGAAGTAGCCAAGTTGGGGATTGGTTAGCACTTTGTTGATAGTTTGTATTCCATAACCCTGGCCCCAAGAAAGTTTGCCCTCTCCTCTTTAAATCTCATGATTTGTCATGATCCCTACGTGGGCATTCGTGGACTGCCTTCCCAGCCAGGGGACCTTGGCAGTGCCGTGAGATTCTCCCAAGAGCTGGTCTGTTTTGTTCACTTCCTGGTATATAATAGGTGCTCAAAAATATTTGTTAGAGGAATAAATGATTCCTGTTAGCTCTGGGGAAGCACATAATCAATGGGCTTATGTAAAGTATAAGCCACAGCTACAGCAAACTGGTTGGTACTGGTTCCAAATGATGCCTTGTTGCCATATGAGAATTGGTAAAGCTGATTAATATGAAACGGGAGGGAGATAAGGTGCCAAGTGTTCATGTTTCGGAAGAAAAGTTGTATACACCCCTGGGAATCTCTGGGGGTGAGGAGGGATCTTAGGCAAATCTAATCGTTTCTTTTTAGAAAGACCTGGGTTTCTCATTAACTGGTAGTGGTGGCAAAATTTTTAAAGTTTTTAAAATATAACTGAAAATTGATAGTAATACTTAGCCACTTTAAAATGTTTTTCTGGTAAAGTTTATAATCAAATTCATAAAATATTATATGAGTTCAAAGGTTATTCTCCACTGTTGCTAGTACGTATGTTATCTTCTAGTCTCAGTAGAATTAATAATTAAATAGCCAGCACCTGACTGCAAATGGCTGACAAACGTGCAGTCCCTACAAAGCAGCACGCCTGTCCTTGTGATACGGACGGAGGTGGCTTAGCTGTTGTTGGGCGGAGTGTGAGGATGACACCTACCACCTGAAGTGACATTGACTGAGGGTCACTGGTCTGTCTTGATGTGTGTGAGACCAGTGCCTGTGAGGCCATTCAGTACAGTCCTGGGTTCTGGAAGGTTAGTAGCGTTCCTCCCACCTTCAGATCAGCACCTTTTCCCTCCTCCCTCCTTTCCTCCAGCTGTTCTATAAGGAGCATCTCTCTCGGCTTCATCCCCTGGGAAGGAAGAGCCTGACCACTAATTTCAGTGATTTGACCTGACTTAGGGAGACAACTTGAAATTGTTAGATTATCCTTCTGGCTGATTTCCATCGAATTATCTTTTGGTTCATGACATTTTGAGACAAAGGAAGGTGCCCATGTATAGGCTGAAACCTAATCACGGAACTTTGAAGAAACCAGACTGACCATTGGGGTTGTGCTGGGTTTTTTTGTTGTTTTTTTTTTTTTCAATCTCTAATGTTGAAAAAATGTTTGAGTTGAATTAAATGGTGCTAGACTCTCTCCAGATGATGGCTCTTTTTTTTTAAACCAGACTTTTGGAAAACCTAGTTCAAAAAGAGAGAGAGTACCAGAATTTCCTACGGGAAACCTTAGAACAGAAAACTCAAGAATTGGATCACCTTGAGTCAGAAAGCAAATTGAATGGTGAGTAACTTTCCACTTGCTCTTACACGTGTGTGAGATCATTTAAAACGTTGCTAAAATTCTAGTCAGCCTTGACACAGTTGACGTTACTCTCTATTGAACCAGTGAGGAATCCAGAAGATTCTGGAATACTAATCAATAATAAAAAGGAACTGCTGGTACATTCAAAAACATAGATGAATTGCAGATGCATTATGCTAAAGTGAAAGCAGCCAGATTCAAAGGCTACATACTATGATTCCATAAATATAGAATATTTATACACTGTTAAAGGCAAAAGTGTAGGTACAGAAATCAAATCACAATGAGTGGGGCAGGTGATTATAAAAGACCACCAGAACTTTTGGGGGTGATGGAAACTTCTGTACTTGTTGCACTGTGGTCACATGACTGTGCTCGTCAAAGTTCATATAGTGCTCCATACCTAAAAAAAAGTTTACTACATAAATTATACTTCAGTAAACCTATCTTGTTCCTTTTGTGCCACTTACTAACGGGCGACAGCTACCTCTTAGAATGCGGTATGGATAAGCTCTGACACAAAAATCTCAAAAACCTATTTCCAGTGCAGTTAAGGATGTGATTCCTTAGAAAAGGCATTTTAAGGAAGGGAATAAGCATTTTAAAGATGAGAATAAGCATTCTAAACTAAAGGTCATAGATAAGGTTATCTGAATTTCTGGGGTGTGAATCCAAGAACTGTGGATCAGTGTGCAATGTATGTGTGTTCGATCTGAGACACACTAAATTCATTTCCTTTTCATGCCACATTTATCTTCTGGAAGTTTATTTCAACCAATTTGTTACTTGTGAAGAGTTTTACTGTTACACATCAATATATAATAAATTTCTAATCATTACAGAGACCCCAATATCCCTTCGTTGGCAGAAAACGGATAAAGAGCTTGTAGAGTGGTTACAAATGCAAGGAGCGGATGCAAATGCAATTGAAAAGGTAAATTCATAACCAAAAAGAAAACCATTCCTCTGCTATTATTACCAAGCCGCTTAGCTCCTATATATTTCTTTGTTTCAGATTATTGAAGAGGGTTATACACTTTCTGATATTCTCAATGACATCACTAAGGAAGATCTAAGACACCTCAGACTACGGTAAGAATAGCCTCAAAACACTTTGTATAATAGAAAATAACTTTTTGTATGTGATTATGCTTTTAAATAAAGTAGTAGAAAACAACGGGCTGGTACATTCTCCCATGGCTTCGTCAGAAAGCTCCAAACTCTGGAGTTTTCCCAGGTTAAAGTTGGGAAAAGCCCAGAGGTGACGGAAGCTGAAGCCCTGGTGGGAAAAGTAGGAAGGTAAAACAGAATAGCTCTCCCGCACCCTCTTTTTAAATTGCAATCTGCGTCCTTGTCCCCACATCATCTTAAACGGCCTGCTCTAAACAGACCCACCGGTACTCCTGTACATGCCTCTAAGGCCATGTCCCACTCTTGCTGGGGCACAAGTGTCATCTCCACCCACGAAGAGAACATATTTCTATTTAAGGTAAGCCTTTTAAGACTAGACGGCAACTCTTGACAAGCCTAGAATGATATACTTTCTGCCATAAGAGCTCCTGAAGAAGTATTCTGGAGTGTTGCTTTTAAGTCTCTTTCTGACTCTAAAGATGGCTGTGTTGTTGTTTTGTAGCGGCGGCCTCCTCTGCAGGCTCTGGGCCGCAGTCTCCCAGTACAGACGACGGGCTCGGGGGACCCCAGCCACCGAAGATGAGGCTTAACCAGTCAGCTAAGCCAAGCCAGGGGAACAGAGGGAGCAAGGAGCCAATATCTTTGTTAAGCATTACTGTTTTTTTTTTTTGAACCTGTTATTCATCAATGTTTTATACGTGACTAGAACTGTATTGTGAGAACAGTGATTGTGAACCCTAATTTTGACATCTAGGGTAAAGATCTTATAGAGTGGTTACAACTGCAAGGAGCAGATGGCGTATTCAAAAATGGAATTGTCCTGGTTATAATTAATAAAGTTTTGAAATGATCAGTGTGACGAGACTTTAGCACCGACACGCACATACAGTATTAGCTGTGGGGTAATGCGAGTATGACAGGTGGCAGAGTTGCACAGGCATACAAGGACTTGTTAAGAGTATACAACTCACTCAAATAGAACTGTTTTAGGAAATAATTTGAAGGAAGGTTGCACAAACTGTAATTACCTATTTTAGACCTATACAAATCTCAAATAACCTTTAACATTCACATGAAATACTTAAGTGTGCACTATCTTTTAATGCAACACTGTATAAACTGCATGCAATTACTATCTTAATCTACCTAAGTTGAGAACAAGCATTCCTTACAGTTGCTATCAATAGCCCACTGAAGGTGTAGTCATCCATTATGTGTAGCCTCTCATTAACTGACGGACTTAAACTTGATCCACTGATTTGCACCCCGAACTTCAAAAGGTGGATCGTTGGAGTAGATGTGATAGCCTAGTTCTTCCAAAGGTGGTTCAGGATCAGATGTGGCAAACTGGGCGGCATCCTCGATTTCTTTCCTCACTTCAACGTCAATTTCCTAAAAATCAGATTACAGTTCAAGAGAATTTTGAATGAGCAGCTTAGGTACCAACTTGTCTACTCAGAGCCTATTGCTAATAGTCTGCTAGTAACAGAAGTACTTAATTAATAGCCCCTATTTTCAAAATTGTTATTTTTTTTTAACTAAATGACACAATGAATGATCTACCCAGGAATATTTTGGAGTACGGACATCAACTTTTAAAAAAAGATATACACATACCCTGGTGAGGGAACATTTATGAAAAATCCGAAGTCTATTTCTAGGAAAAAGAATCGTGTTCTTGAGGGGTTTAAAGGCTTTGTCAATATGACTGAATGTCCCCATGGTCCTACATACTTTCCCATTAGGAGTGGCAGCGTTTTGTGTAGAGAAAAACTGCTCAGAAAGGAGAGCCCGCCTTTAAACCGCCGAGAGTAATGGTACCTTTAATTCTTCGACACTGGCAAGATTGTTGTTCACCATTCTATCCTTGAGGAGCATGATAGGGTCGCTCTTACTTCTTACTTCCTGAATTTCTTCTCGTGTACGATAACTAGAGGGAGGGAAACATAGTTAGAAGTAGGTAAGAACACTTCCAGTTTGAGCAAAAATAATTCTGTGAAACACGGGAGTACGTTTCTGAGATAAAGGAGCACGTCAGCACCTATGTCACTGAGGGAATGGCAGAATTACACTTTCAAAGTATAAGAAAGCCTAACGTTCTGTAAGAGCTGCTTATATCTTTCATCAAAAATTCTACACTGGCAATTCACCTGGCTTCTCTGGCATTCTGACAACAGGGGCCAAGTTTTTATTTGATCTAGATGTAGGGTATGAAGTGGTAGAGCCTCTTTCGGTGCCAAATGTCCCATCCTTTTGAGCTGCTACATTTCACGTGTGTGGGGACAGTGGAGATGGTTCTTGTATGGTGATAACCACAGACCTTGAGGCAGCAGAACATCAAGCAGGATATAAATGTGCCTTGCCTTTCTTCCTTAAGACCCCAGAGAAATGTGGCCAGCAAAAGCCTGGATAGCAGGTTTTCCAGTTCTTAAATCTATAATACATCCTCGTCCCACACATCATTTGAAATAACACTAAAAGCAAGGGCTCTACCGTTTTTTGAAAATAGAAATACACAAAGTGCATTTTTCCATATAAGTTGTTTATAATAAAACATATTCCCTTAGAGCTATTCTACACTCAAAGGCTTGTTATGGCTTGACTAAATCTTGTGTCGCACTCTGGAACTGCAGCATTACATCAAAGAGTTAAAAAGTGACAAGTAAAACTCCTATCTTCTAGTGTGACCTGTCCTTTTGTGACTGCTCTATTGTAAAATACTGAATATCCCATGTGCCAGTTGGCCTTGCTCCATGCCATCCAGAACATTTTCAAATTCTGCCTCTGCGGGAGGAATATACCATGAAGAAATCTGGGGCAATGCCTACAAAAGTTAAGTGCCCCCCAGTATACTACTCTACCATCAGACCTGCTTTATGGTAAAATTTCCCTCCGCAATTTAATTTTTTTATTGCTGCTCATGCTAACATGTAGATACTATACATAGTAGGGATTTTCAGAAGGCTTTCTGTATTGAAACCAGTTTAGTGGGAGGCACTGCTTTCAGACCAGGAATCAACTACCTGATGCCAACTAATGCAATGCATGAAGCCTACTGGTGTCTGGCTTCAAAAGCAAATATTGAAGTGCTTTATTTTTCCATGTGAGTAGCACCACTCAAAGCCTACCACCACAGATTTCCCATGACCATACCTGACTCCAGGATCACTCATGCTGTGTCCATGGTAACGGTAAGTCTGCAGCTCCATCAGTATGGGCCCCTAAAACAGAACCCAAAGGACAGTAGGTGAGATGACAAGCACAGCACACCAATCCACAGCCTCGAATGCACACCCTTTCAGGATCAAAGATACTTATCAGACCTTCTATAAATCAGCTGAGTTGTCAAGAATTTATTAGTTGACTTATCTGTTCTCATTTCTAATATCGATTTATTGCATGTTTCATCATTTTTAACAGGAACCTAATAAAAGCAACCTGCCGCAGCTTGTTTTGAATCAAAAAGGCATTCAGCATGCTATACGGCCCATTAATATTAAAGAATCGTCTATTTCAGCAGCATTGCATTTGATACATAATCCTATAAAAACAGCTTTAAGGAAGAAAAATCTATTTGAAAGCAGGTATGGTAGCAGGAGAGGGCATGGCTTTTATCTTTAGGGTTAATAGGCTAGTCTTTCCCCCCAGTCACAGGTGAAATGACCTACAAGCACTCTGATCCTTTTAAAACTCTAGAGAAAAATGCTAATACAAATTCTAACAGATTAAAAGCAAACCTCTATCTGTGCTGGAAAGTGCAGAAGGATGGGAGAACTAAAGAGAGGCTAGGTAGGTGAATTTCCACCTCATACCCATTTCAGTTTCACAGAGGCTGGCGACCAATCCTGCTTCACACAAATCTGGCTAGTGTGTAACAGGAAGTTGGCATGCACTGAAGACCTGATTCATAACCCAGTGACTGCTGAGAGTCTGGCTAGCCCAGCTACCACCAGGTAGCTTGCTCATGCTGCATTAGCTCACTTCTAGAAGACAACTTTGAACACAGAGGAAGGAGGGTGGATCTAGAATCCCTGGGCAGTTTGGTGTAGTAGTTGAAAAGAGGGAATCTGAGTCCAAATGCTTGGGTTCCAATATGGCTGTATATATGGTAGCTATGTACCCTTAACTGCTTTGTGTCTCGGTTTCCTCATCCTGCGAAATGGGCAAAACAGTAATAACCGAGCTCAGAGTTGTGCCAATTAAATAATACATAAACAGTACTGCATGTATTACCTGACACACGTCAACCCCTCAGTCACCTATCCAGTTATGTAATCCAGCAGCCGTGTGGAAGCACAGTGGGTTGGGCTAAGGGGCTGGTGATAAGGGGGTTTCCAGACCCTCCCTTAATTCCAAGATCAGGCTTTGGTCAGGCTAGGAAGCTCAACACATGCTATAAACCACTGATCCCGTTTCCATGTATGGTTGGACCCCACATATTCTTTCAGAACTGGGGGAGAGGGGAATGGTATCCATCACCCAGGGCCTGGGCTCCTCCTAGTCCTGAAGTCCTGATACAGACTGCTGAGCCTACTAGCATCAACCTGCCATCTTAGTCGTACTCCATTTTATTCCTCTTGTTTAACTGCTCTGGATTTCCTTCCCTGCTTCATCCCCTTTCTCCTAGTTTCATCCCGCTAGCCGAATTTTATTTGCATTACTGGCCAAACAAACCCAGGGGAAGTCGCTAAAAGGCAAACCTCAGGGGCATGCTTTCTGAGCTGTGGAACACTGATCTAGGGAGAAAAACATCTTTCCACTAGCTCCGATGGCACGTAAGCCTCTTTTCAGGCCAATCTCACTCTACTGCTAAAACTGAAAGGTTAAGATTCTTAGGACTGAAACACCAAGACTGCAATTATATACTTTAACCATAACATTTAACTTATAGAAGACAAAGTTATACTGAATGTCTACTATATAAGCAAAGTTCTGTGCTGAGCACTATGGGAGTCCCCAATCTGTTCATTTACGGGGCTTATACTTAACGGGGGTTGGAGACACATAACCAAACCAAAAGGCAAAACAGATTGTCACGATGAAGACAGAAGCAAGATGCTGAGGAAGCACTGGAAGAAAAGGTTTACCCCACGTGGGGGCAACATGGAATGTGCCCAGGAGGTAAGATACCAAGACAACACTATTTATGAAGGGACCTGATTCACCTGACTGGCCTCTGCTGCTATCTTATACACATTAACAGCTACCCCTGAATAGCTACGACGGACGTGGGGGAGGCATTCTTTCAACTTTGAGATAACCGTCATTAGAAACCTCCTACCTAGAGGCCTAAGAGAAGGCTTACCTTTCCAGATCTACAATGGGCAGCTGCAAACTTCGTCGCCTCCCGGACACACAGGACATCCATTCCATCCACCTGTTAATGCATGGGAAAGGGAGCAAAGCGTAAATCACCGACCTAAAACCATTTTAATTCTACCTGACCTGTTCCTGCACTAAGAAAACATAACTCTTCAATTTGTCTGCGACTATCAAGGGCACACACAGAAGTATCGAGCCATGAGGGTATAGCCCCGGCCCTGTGACAGGTGTCCTTACCCTCAGCCCAGGAATGAAGTCACCTCTCTTGTAGTAATCAGTGCTGGCTGCTGCTCTCTCAACAGATGTTCCCATTCCATAGCGGTTATTTTCACAGATGAAAATACAAGGTAATTTCCACAAGGCTGCCATATTGTAAGCTTCGAATATCTGACCCTGGAAGTGTGTATAAAAAGTTCAAGTGGTTTCATTTTGCTTTTTCCCTAGACTTCATCATCTTAACAGCTACTGCTCTACGTGGCAGAGAAAGCTTTCATAAAAAGATAAAAAGCCTCATCTTCTATAACCAAGCTTTTCAGGAAAAGAGTGTGTGTGCTGGCAGGAAGAAGGAGAGTGAAGCAGCAAGCATCATCTCTTTTGCAACTAAGGGAAGTGACAAAACATCACCTCTTATTTCTGTGAGGTCAAGGCAGAGTAGTACAGACCGCACCACGGAAAAGATCACCATGTAAAAACACGTGATACTTAGTTTTATGTTTGTTCTAAGTTCTATGAGACCCACTGGGTACCCAGAGCAAACCAGCAATGAGCATCAGCATCCACAGCAGGTCCTCAAGAGTGTCATCCACAGACTGGTGATGACTCGGACCATGAAACAAGAAGGGCAGAGTCAGGGCTCAGAGACCACAAGAGGAGTTTGACAATGCCAAGGCACTGAAGACACTGAGTCTGAACATTAGAGTACTCGTTTGAGAATTGGTTTACGAGAGGTTAAAACAGAAAAAGATCCTTCGCCACAGTTTGGGAAGCGCTGAGGTAGACAGAGCTAAGGAGAGCTCCCTCAGGAGTGTGCCCCAATAAAGCACTTGTAAAATGTGCCAAGAGGCAAATCTCTAATCTGGCCATAAAACTAAAATTGAGCTTGCCATATGAATGGCTAGTTCAACTAATAAGTAACATACTTCTTTACAAACTAACCTATGAACGTATAACACTTTGAAAATAAAACTCTATACATTATTAGAAAGTTGAGGCAATTACTCACCTGATTAGCAGCACCATCGCCATATAAAGTCAAACAGACTTCATCTTTTCCATTATACTTACAGGCCAGAGCAATCCCAGCTCCCAGGGGTACCTAATATTAAGGACAATCAAGAAAGGAACCACAGAAATCTATGAGGGGAGAAATTAATGCTCTGAATTTTAACTCCTGGCCAGAAATTGAGATAGAAATTATACTGTTGCTACAAACTCTCTCTACGCCAACCCTATCTCTGCTTATTCCACCAATATTATAAACAAACCAGTAAAGAAGAATAATTGTTATGCTGCATTGCAACCATTTAAGCAATAACCTTTCTGCACGCAAAGATTCAATTACTAATTCTAAAAATGAAACCTAGGTTTAAAAAAAGCATACTGTAGAATCTCGATATATTAGAAAGTAAACCAAACAATCTAGATATGGTTTTATGCTGTTACTTCTTCATAATTCACTAAATCATGAGAACAAGGCAGACTCCATATCCATAGAAGTTGGCTTTGGATTCTAACTAGGCCCTGAGATCCTGATCACCTGCCTGTCCTCATCTGGCATGAGCCCTGTCTCCAGCAGGCAGGGCAAAGTGTATGTGACAAAGCAATTAATGTAAATATAAATAAAAAGCTGAAGGTATAGCTCCACTGCTGGAGGCTCTTGCTTACTTACAAAACATAAATACCAAAAAGGAAAAATTTTAAATCATGGTCCAAATCTATTAAGTGATCAAATGGTAGGGTATGAAGCAATAGGTCTTTTAAGCACACTAAGCCCCCAAAGTACTAAAATACAACAGAGGGAAGTCCTCTGGGGTATGAACTATTGTAAAGACACAGGCCAGGGCCAAATCTAGAAAAGCATGCAATCCTTATCCTCGACTACCTGAGCTCCAACGATGCCATTGCCTCCGTAGAAGTTCTTGGCATACATATGCATTGATCCACCTTTTCCTTTAGCACAACCTCCTCTTCGCCCTAGAAATGACAGCACACGTATATATGCATCAAAAATCAAATACACAAAACAAAACCATATCCCAAGCATTTACTCAAGAGGCTCAACCATTAGAACTCAGAGGCCGATTCAATTGTATAAACACCTGCCCCTCTATGCAAACACATATCCCTCGTCTCCAGGTCCTTTTGTAATGAAGGTCAGACCAGTCTCGTGTCCTTGACCTTTCCAATTTTTCCAGCTCTCTAATCATTGTTTCCTTTGGATGTTGGTGTGGTGCCTTGGACTTTTTTTTTTTTTCTGCCAGTTACAAACATCTTCCTTTATCTCCTACACTGGCACACTAAACAGTTCAAGAGTCAAAGGGGACAAAGACAAAGGGATATTAAGAAGATTCCTAGAATTTAAATTGCATACCACGAAATGCTTCTACTCAATTTATTTTCTGTGGCTGCTAGATTTCTGCTGGCATGTCTGAGTAATTATAAAAGTAATTCTGATTTTATAGAGCTAACCTTTTAAAACTTACACCTGAGGAGCCAGATGACCTCAAAAATGGTCGGTTTACTTAAAAGCATAATAGAAATAACAGCTCCTAAAGAGGTTTTTTTTTTTTTTTTAACTCAGAAAGGTTTTAATATTAACTTATAACGGTTAGCGTCTTTTTTTTCCCCTTGGCTGTGCTGTCTTCCCATTCCCATGGGATCTGCTTTGGGTTAAGGCAAAGGTCCAAAAAACCTTTTATTTATTTTTTTTAGTGTTTTATTTAATTGTTAGTTGAGTATATAGTATATTGGTTAGACATTTATATCATTTATGATATGATCTCTCTGACTCTAACACCCCTCTGGCTCTACATACAGCCATTATATTACTGCTGACTACATAGGAGAGATTTGAAAACTTAATTCACTAATTTCCCCTTTTGTAAATCAATAGCAAACCTGTAAGCTCTGTGAGAATTTCTCGGACAGAAAGCCCACGAGTAAAGGTAAAGCCATGAGCTCGATAGGCTGTGATCAGATGATCTGTGGGATTTATGCCAGCCTCCAGGCCCACACAACAAGCTTCCTGCATTAAAGGAAGAAGCAGTGATGAGTCAATACAATACACATTTCTAGAAAAAAGCCTTCCTAGACCATTATCAAACATTTGGCCTAGTCGAACTCTTCATTAGTAACTATAGAAAGTAGCTCTAATTTTTTTTTTAATCAGAAACAGAGTGAAGAGTAAGGACCAAGCCAGAAGCCATAAACTGACAATCCATAGATGTGCTGTTTCCTTTAGCCTGTACAGTAATTTGGGGGGGAAAAATCCTGAATCAGATGTCAACATTAAAATACTGAGAATATCATGAAAATCAAGACTTCTGTCTTATCTTGAAGAAACAAACAACAGGAAGCATTAGCTCCATATTTCTATACATCACCACTGACTGGAACGAAATCATGACATAATCTACAGGTGGGACCTGCCTATCCCAGTTCACCGCCAGTCCCTGTCACCGCCAGTCAGTCTATTTTTTGTATAGCTGGCCTTCTTCACTCATTTAGTCTGCCTAGCTGGCCCCTGTAGGCATCTGAATTTATAACCTTTGGTCTAAACCAACAAAACAAACAAACAAAAAAGAAAAACAAACCCTTTCCCCCAAAAGTATACCCAATAATGATGATCACAATGCCATAAAGGCATAGGAAATCAGCAATGTGATGCATGAATAAATTCTTTAGCATAAGCTTCATAGCAGGTCTCAGCATTCTCATTTTTATTCTAAAATACCAGCCTGGAATCCTTTGGATGCATAAGGCAGGGTTAAAGACACAAACCACACTTAAATTCCTAAAAACAGTTTTATTACAAAATTATCACTCACTTGACCGTCACACAAGTGACAGAAACCACGAATGATTTTCTGTTTATACAGCTGATCTGCCTTTAACTCCATTCGGCGAACAGTCTGCATCGTCCTGTAGTATTTGAGCCCATCCTCTCTGGTGAGCACTGTTGTGACAGGAGGGCCCTCTTCCAGCCGGTGGAGATCACACTTCTGAAAATCAGTTATCTTCCAGTTACTACATTATAAACAATGCCAACCCATTCTAAGATCTAACTCCATCACAAATAATATTTCACTCAAAAAACCCACAGGAGCACATCAGAAATGCTGCATATTGCTTCTGACTCCTTACATCATAAAGCTCACTGCAATGGGATAGGGTTTTGAAGGAAGAAAATTTTTCTAAGATGACTTTCACTGAAAGCCCCTAGAAGTCAAGCGGGTTATAGGTTAAAAGTCAAACTTTCAAAGAAGCATTCTAAGAATCTTCCCATTCAAATGTTTTACCAAATCACATTCTAAACTTTGGAGTAAGTCTAATGTTTTTTACTTCACCTCCCCCCACCCACATACACACCATGAAACACCAGCAAGTTGCTAAGTGTAAATTCTAATTTTTGCTAAACTTATTTGAACCTCTGATTCTAGAACATTGGGAAGAAAATGGTGAAAAAGCATATCGAAATGTTCTATTCCCAAGGTAAAACTGTATATCAAAGTGTACTGGTGGGAAAATTAACACAAAGTAAAATATCTCTTACCTTAATTTCAAATGTAGCATCGTTTGCAAAATTACGGGATGCCACCAGCACTCTGCTTGCCTTGAAAGACCAAAATATACAAATATATCAGTACTTTTATTGTCAGTTATTTTAAAAGTAATTATTATTATTACTCAGTTATCAGGATGCAGTCCTGGAACTTGAATAAGCCTCAACATATTCATGGGCTCATCTTCTATTCTGTTCAGTGCGTTGAGATCTTGTCTTCCAAAGTGACTCCATGCTTTGGCTAATAAAACACGATGGTAACCCCATGGGACAGCAAACAGCAGGAAGAGAATGGATGCAAAAACCAAACTAATCTACTTAGTCACTTTGTTTTCAAAGAAGTTACAGTGAGAATATAATGAAGTTAATGGCCAAGCTAAAGAGACTGATAATCTGTGGGCTTTGTTTATTTATGCTATTCTTCATCATAAACAGATATACCGAGCAAGCTAAAGCTTCAGTTTCAGAATTACTCGTCAAATAAAAAACTATGATTCAATCTTTATTTCAGGAAAACCATTTTTCTATGAAATGGATCGATAAGAAAAATATTTTCAACTACTCAAAGCATGAAATAAATATGTTAGTGAGAAATGTACCAAAGATACCTAGCGCTGACTTAAAAACAACAGACTTGAAGGACGTTTTATAATTTGAACAGCCTCTATCTTGGGTAGCTCCCGCAGAAGGGAGAGAGGTTCTCTGCAACAGTGTTTCCTTCTTGATGTCTGAGTAGCTGTCAGTGCTTGAGGGTGGGGTAAAAAGTTGGGAAAAATGTTTCCTTTTCACTCTTACAATCAAACATACCTGCTTGCACCAAAAGTATTCTACGGGATGGCTATGGTCCAGGTTAGACCACAAACATTTAATTAATTAGTGTTAATGTACTATTTTAGCCAATTCTGTCATGTTTTCACACACAAATGTGTAAACCGACATGACTTCTTTTCATGGAGACTTGAAGCACATTCTTCAGATCCCACAAAAAGTACTTTTGATATGTTTGTACAGCCATCCAGCTTCTAGTGCTGGACTTGATCTTGGTGAGAAGGGTTAAGATTGACCTAAGTGTACCTCCAAGTATACAAGCCTACCAGCAGAAAGCTATTATCTACTTAATGCTTCAACCATCAATATACCATTATCTACTAAACCCAGCAAGACAATGGTGTTGCTGGAGGAAAAACGCTTAAATACTAGAAAAAAAATGCTTCGGTTAAGTTAGAGGTAGACAGAATTTATTAACATATCTAAGGGAAGAAAACTGAGAAATTTGGGAAGAAGTAGAGATGAGAGGAGCAAGGTGACAAACAAAACGTTATATTTGGCAATCATGAAACAGACATGTTATTTTTGGCAGTTAAGAAAATTGTTTTAGACTTGTGGTCATGATGGCGGAGTAAGTAAGTGCTGTGCCCACCTCCTGTCATGACCAAATCAAAATTACAACGAAATTATAGAACCACCATCATTGAGAGGCACCTGAAGACTAGCTGAACAGAAGTCCTATAACTAAGGATATAAAGAAGAAGCCATGTTGACTACTGGAAGGGCAGAGATGCAGAACGGGCAGGTCCCAAACCTTGATCACCACAGTTTGGTGATCGAGAATTGGAAGGGATATCTCGGCTGCGGAGGTCCCCCTGAGGAGCAAGGGGTCCCAGCCCCACACCAGGCTCCCCAGCTCAGGGCTCCAGTGCCGGGAAGAGGAGTCCCTAGACCATCTGGCTGTGAAAACTATTAGGAATTGCATCCAAATGAGACAGAGGGCTGCTGGAGACGTAAGTGTTCCTCTCTTAAGGGGCCCACACACAGACTCACAAACTCAATTTGCTTTGGGCTCCAGCACGAAGACAGCAGCTCAAAAAGCACCAGGCACATACAGGGGACTAAACTGACTAGCTTCAGGGTGAGGGCTGGAAGATCAGGGGTTTGGACAGCTCTTGCTGGGGAAGGAAGCGCTGGCAGGTGCCATTGTTCCTTTGTTGAGCCCTCACCCCACACAGCCAGTCCAGCACAGGGAGAGCACCAAATCTGAGCTCTCCATTAACCTGGCTAACACCGTTTGCCCAGCCCTGGTGATTCCCTGAGAACCCACCCAACTCAAGCACCAGTCCTGAGCCTCTTCCAAAGGCTCCTCCACATAAGCAGCCTGCCTTGGCTAGAGCTGCAGACTTTCCTAAAATCTCTCAAAGGTCCATGAAACCCAAATTAGCAGTGGCTGGCCTTGGTGTGCCCTGTACCTCTTGCTAAACTACCCCAAGCCCAGCACAAATGGTGACCTGTCCTAACTTGCATTATAACTCCCATCAGGTAGCCCCAAGTCTGGCAGAAGCAGCAGCCAGTCTTGGCTTGGAACGTAGCCTCAACTAAGCAGCCATAAACACGGCACAAGTGGCAGCTGGCCTCAGCACATGTCATGGTGCCCAAAAAGGGGTCCCAAGCCTGACAGAACAGTATCCAAAGCAATCTATACATTCAATGCAATCCCTACCAAAATACCAATGCTGTTTTTCACAGAACTAGAACAAATAATCCTAAAATCTATATGGAATCATAGAAGGCCCCAAAGAGCCAAAGCGATCTGAAGAAAGAACAAAGTTGGAAGTATCATGCTACCTGATAGCTAACTATACAAGGCTATAGTAATCAAAATAGCATGGTGCTGGCAGAAAAAGACACAAAGATCAATAGAACTAAATAGGGAGCCCAGAAATAAATCCACGCCTACATGGTCAGTTAAACTATGACAAAGGAAACAAGAATATACAATGGGGTAAAGAAAGTCTATCCAATAAATGATGCTGGAAAAACTGGACAGATACATGTAAAAAAATTAAACTAGACCACTTTCTTACACCATATACAAGAATAAACTCAAAATAGATTAAAGACTTAAATGTAAGATCCAAAACCATAAAACTTCTAGAGGAAAACATTGGTAGTAAACTGTGACATCGCTCTCAGCAATTTTTTTTTTTTGATATATCTCCTTGGGTGAGGGAAACAAAAGAAAAAATAAACAAATGGGATTACATCGAACTAAAAAGTTTCTGTGCAGTGAAGGAAAGCATCAACAAAATGAAAAGACAAAACCAACTGAAGGAGAGAAGATATTTGCCAATGATAATGTCCGATAAGGGATTAATATCCAAAATGGATAAGGAACTCATTACCACCACCACCAAAAAAAGAAAAAAAATACGATTAAAAAATGAGCAGAGAAATGGAACAGACATTTCTCCAAAGAGGACATACAGATGACCAACAGGCACATGAAAAGATGTGCAACATCACTAAACATCAGAGAAATGCAAATCAAAACCACAATGAGATATCACCTCACACCTGTCAAAAAGCTATCATCAATAAATCAACAAACAAGTGCAGGCGAGGATGAGGAGAAAAGGGAATCCTCCTGCACTGTTGGTGGGATTGCAAACTGGTGCAGCCACTATGGAAAACGGTATGAAGGTGACTGAAAAAATTAAAAATAGAACTACCTTATGATCCAGCAATTCCACTTCTGGGTATTTATCTGCAGAAATCCAAACACTAATTTGAAAAGCTATATGTACCTCTATATCCATTACAGCATTACTTACAATAGCCAAGATACAGAAGCAACATAAGTATCCACTTATAGACAAACGAATAAAGAAAAGTGGTACATATATACAATGGAATATTACTCAGCCATAAAAAGGAATGAAATCTTGTCACTTCTGACCTAAAGAGTATTATGCTAAGTGGAATCAGTCAAAGAGAAACACCATATGATTTCACTTATATGTGGAACCTAAAAAACAAAATAAACAAAACAGAAACAAACTCAGATACAGAGAACGAATTTGTGGTTGCCAGATGGGAGGGGGTTTGAGGGGAATGGGTGACAAAGGGGAAGGGGGGATGTACAAATTGGCAATTATAAAAATAGTCACGGTAATATAAAGTACAGCATAGAGAATATAGTCAATAATATTGTAATAACAATATATGATGTCAAAAGAGTACTAAACTTTTCTTGATCACATTTTAAGGTATATAAATGTCTAATCACTGTTGTATACTTGAAACCAATATAATATTGTATGTCAGCTAAAAAATTGAAAAATAAATTTAAAAATAAAAAATAATTTTGTGGGGCCAGAAATATTTCTTGTATCGAGAAATAATCTTCCAGGCACAGCTACAGACACTGTAGTTTTGGAAAGATTTAAAACTTGATAACCATCCAGGCAATAGTAACTGAGAACAGGTAAATTGTTATTTCTCCATCCTCAAGTGGAAACAATAAAAAAAAATGACAGACAGTTCTATGTAATTGAGAGCAGGAAAGTAAAGTCAAAGATTATGAGCGCCAGAAAGCAGTGGGATTCCTAGAGGGGTACACTTCCTACCTTTTGACCATCTCTTACTAACCCTTACTAAGCTGAGTTACCACAAAGACCTGGAGGAGTTACTAGAGCCAAAAGTGCAAATCAAAGCTTGTCTGCAGTTATACCAAGAAACACTACTTCCCTGTGCCTAGAGGACAAAGAAGTTTAGGCATTGGGCACGTCTGGAAACTGGAGCCAGAAAACAGTGCTAACCTCTAACCCCACCCTCTCCAGCAGCGCTGCAGTTTTCTTTAGCTTACCTTTACCCTAGAGTGTGAGTGTGAGTAAGTGAGTGAGCGTGTGTGTGTGTGTGTGTGTGTGTGTAAAGGGGAAGGCAGTTTCCTCCGTGTTCTGCCAGACTGCTCTGGAATTGACTGCCAAGAAAAGCTCAACGTTAAGGGAGGAAAGGGGAAGAAGTTTGTTTCTCGGGAACCTGACCCTGTCTGAACCCTCCACAGAGCCAAGCGTAGGTGTTCAACACATGTATACCAAACCGGGCACTCAAATGATAATATTTTACACAAATGGCACCTACAATGCACTATTTGGAAAACTTTACACACGTGTCACTCGTTTAAGCCTCACAAAAAACCCACGAGTTAAGTATTTATTACTTCTATTTTAGAAATGAGGAAATTGAGCACAGGCCTATTTAAAGAAATTTAAAAAAAACAAAAAAACACTTTGTCCGAGGTCGCAGGGCTAGTAAATGGTGATGCTGGTGTTTGGGGGAGCCACTCGGTCTCCAGATTCCATGCTCTTTAACATACTATATGGCCTCTGGCTCAAGAGGAACGCAGTTAGGAAGATTTTAAACGAGTGCGCCGAGAAAAGGGGGTCAATTGGAGACTCGAGGGTGCCCAAGGCCCCTTTTTTGTCCGCGATAAATGCATGGGCACTTCTAGAAGACGCCTCCTAGCCCCGAGCCGGGAGCCGTGGCTGACCTCCACGCGGACCTTGTAGAGTGTCCCCGTC